CAGAAGATAGTCAATTTTGCCCACAAAGTCGGTGGGTGCCTAAAGCTTCCCAGTGTCAATTCGTCATCTACGGTGGTCCAACAGGGTCAAGGTTGGTTGGATTTTCTCCTGAGATGATGAGCTACAAAGCCCAAGTGGTGGCATCGGCCATTGCTTTGCTGATTCGCCGGAAAATTGAAATGTGTGGCTACACATGGTTTTGACGCGTCGGATTTCATGGCTTCGCCCCGCCACATGTGGTGGTTTATAAAGGTGGTTTTGGTTTGGTTTTGTAGAGGGGAATGAGAGCTTCAAGACGGTGGTGGTGGCGTCGAAAAACTCCATCGGAGTTGGCCGGAATCGACCTCGGAAAATGGGTGATCGCGCAGGTCGTTTTGCGTTGGGTCACAGTTTTGGGGGAGCTGAGAGCTTCTCTCTCTCTCCTCTCCTCAATTTCTGATTGGTCCCTTATTTTCTTACTTAAATCTGAATGGTTACCACTCCCACATGGTGGGAGTTTGAATTAATTTATAACTAAACTTTAAATAACCAATTTCAAACGTCTGTAACTATACCGTTATAATCCAGACTCGCAAATGGCTTTCGCCTATACGCTCGTAGTGACGAGTACTACAAGGATATGCTAAAAAAAAAAATTTATAAAACTTAAAATTAGGGACGGGTTATCACAATAATAAATAAAAAAATAATAAACATTAGAACATTACAAAATATCAAATGTTCAAAAGATTTGCAAAATTAAGGGAGTTATGTTTCAAGGTTTGGAACCTTGCACATTTTCTTACAATCAAACTCTTCAATTTTCATCAATCACCATGGGAAACGGTATTGGAACTTTGACTTGATATATTGTCTTCAAAAGTTATATTGATGATATTTTCAGTGAGGCTTTCTACATTAGCACTCTCTTCTCATTTTATCATATGGCTATTGTTTAAGTAAAGTCTTTAATAGTTTTTTAATTAATGTAGAAGTGTGAAAAATAAAGAAAAAATATATAAACGTTCGTAATGACAAACTTTACAACTTTCGTGAAGGGCTTAACTTTGAAATGTGCCACTATAATCATATAAATCATAGATCAAAATTTAACCGTCGATTGTTGTTTACATTTATGCTTCATTTTTCTCACCAAATTTTGTTTTTTTTTTTCAGATTTTGTTTTTTGAAAACATGATCTATTAGAGGATACAGGAAGATGAATGGTTCGAATCGTTGATATTATGTTCAGAGTTTTACTGTTAATGAAAATATTGCTTGGTGTTTATAAAGTCTCGACCAACTATATAACATTGACTCATATTTCAATTAACCGTAAATATCTATCAAAGATCCGAACCGTTAGAAGATCATGTTTTCAAAAAATAAAATTTTAAAAATAAAATTCAAGATAAAGAATAAAGCGTAAATGACAATCGACAGTTAAATACAAATTTAAGGTTTATGGATTATAATGTCGGATTTCGAAGTTGACCCCTTCATGAAAGTTGTAAAGTTTTTCACTACAAGTGATTGTATACATACATATATATATATATATATATATATATATATATATATATATATATATACATTTCTTACACATCTATAATAATTATTATTAATTTTATTACTTTTACACTCAAATAAAAAATAATATTTATGATTGTTTGAAGGGTTTTAAAAATTTAAACGATAATGTAAATGTAACCATTGTCTACTCATAGAGGAATGTTGAATCCCGAGTGTTTATATATTCTTTCACATTTTTCTTACTTGTAGGGATGTCTTATTGCCTATACTAATACTATACTAGTTGATTTTAATTTTGGATAACAACATGTTAAGTAAAATTTATCCTATTAATGATAATAAGAAACTCTCATAATAAAAATAAATAAATGAATAAAACTTAATTTTTTTAACTTATATAGAATAATAATACAAAAATATATATTTAACATAGAATATACCAATATATACAATATGGCTATTGTATTTTATAATAAAATTTTTAGTAATTAAACATTAAAATTATAATTTATTTTTCTTAACTGGTCGAAACGGATTACCCACGTGTTACCCGCTTGTATACCCTTCAACAGGTCACCCGATAATGACCCGATTAGTTATCGTGTTGACCTAAAGTCCGTTATTTTCGTGTCGTGTCACCATGTTGTGTAAGAAACTGTCATATCTAGTTTTTGGGCCTTTTATTAGGATAAATTTAATTCAAATAATAATAATATGCAATAAAAATGATAATAAATATACAATATGTAATTCGATTATATATTTAGTTAGTCGTAATTAATAATGCTACAAGAACAAAGGAAAAAGAAATTAAATTAGTCGAATCCTCAGCCACTTGGGTACTGCTTTGTAGGATCATCCTTCTGTTTACGTTAATCTTCTTCTTCATGACGATTCACGAGAAAACTCCTCAAATGTTGAGTTTGTAGGAGCTTTCACACTGATACACCAATAACGAAAGATGGAGTGAGGGATTCGATTGTGCTAGCAAGATCACTCATTTGGAATAATGTATTTGAGCGGCACACTATGGTGTTTTGGCATAGAATTTTTCTCTTTTTTTTTCTTTTTTTTTTAATGAGGGACAAAACTAATTTCACTTAGCTTATGAGAAAAAAAGACAAAGGGTATATATAGACCCCTCGCTGCACCCCCTATGCTGTACCTCCTTTAGGATTTAACATTTGCTTCGTGCCTTGTGTCAAGCCCAATGACTTGTCCATTTTGGGCTTGGTACTTGGACCCCTTTTAATTAAGTAAACCCAAAGTTTATTTTAATTAAAACATGTCCAATATGCCCAAATAATAAATCCAATATAACTAACAATCAATTATATTTTATCATCATCCATGTAACGTCGTTAGTACTATCATAGGTGTGTGACCTCTTAGGTTCTAACTAAAGCCGACAATAAATTAATTTCATTCCACAAGTCAATAGTGACACCTAGCAACATGTTATGCCCATCCAGATTAGATAGAAGTAGTTGTGATACAATCAAGGTACTTTTTCGAACTTTGATTGTAGTTACAATGCAATACGATCCTTTTATCATTCATATCCCGATCAAGAATTATGTGATATGGATTTATGTCAAATCACATGTAGTCTTCTATGATCACCCTGATGTATCTCATGTTGAAGCAGTTCTTACAAGCATAGCTTGATCAATAAGGACTCTGCCTGGGCAGAGATTTCTGAGATGGATTTTCAAGTGTCTTTGAGAGATATCTCCTTTTATTGAACAATTACCAAAATGTGATAGATTTCTTATTGTGCATTCATATATCCCATATATGCTCATCTACATGAACCCAATCAACACATTATCACGCTCTACGAAGTAATGAGGGGCATTGAGGTGAAGTCAAAGTTCATATATATGAGCACAAGATATGCAATGATGCCTCATGTCTAAGAACTATTTGCATACTGCAACCAGAAGCTTTGTAACGTTTGACACGTGGTAAGCACCCATATGTTCAAGCTTCTTGGGTGGTCAATGATAAGTGAACTTGCTCAACAGACAATCACATGTATGTCCACCACGTGTCTAACACGCATAGTACGAGATCATACTAACCTTATGCCATATATCCTAACCTTTTTGGATAGTCAATGTCCAGTTGACTTTTCAAATAGCTAGGAACTTTACTTAAGGACGAAGTGACTATGGAATACAAATATCTTTGCCCTGAGCTTGTTTAGAACGTTGCTTCCATGCATACCTTAAATCCTACAAACTTATTCGCAGTATATTATCTCTACAATATAAAACCAAAACTCGTGAATTAATAATATGAAGTTATTGCATAATATCCAATATCAAAAATTGACATTCAGGGCACAACTCCAACAATATTCCCCACAAAAAAATTAATATTATTAGCACCGTTTAATGCTTGGCCAGCAAGCATTATGCATTTAGCCTCACCACTTTCTTTGCACCTCAGATCTTCCAAACAAGTTTTGAGAATTTCCAACTTGGCATTCTCGATCTCATCTAGCGGTCACTCCCACCAGTGATCCACCGTGCCCACATTCTTGGCCTGGTCATACGACCATTGAGCTTTTTTTGGTATCGACCAACCCAAACATCTTTGTGAGGTCATTGTTGAGCTTATTCAAGGTCACATTTCAAAACGCCTGATCATTTGTTGCAAATTGAAACCATGGCAAGTTGACTGAGTGACGGTTTGCTCTCGAACCCATCAATCAACACCTCAAAGCATGGGTGGCCAAAGAAAATTAAAGAAAATTACCTTCTTGCTCTGTGTGAAGACCATAAGGGCCATCTGTATATCACATAGGGTGTATAGTTCACTAGTTTTTTTTTTTTAACAAACGATATTATTTACACTAAGGGGGAGGAAGGTGGGCTTAACCTCATAATGTGCTAGCAATAATGTGGTTCAATTTGCCTTTGGCGAGAATAGAACCTAAGACCTCTCACTTACAAGTAAAAATGAATACTACTAGATCATAGTACTAAGTGGCAGCACACTAGCCTTTTTGAAAAGGTCATATCTCCTCTTGGAGACTGGCTTCATTCGTTATCTTCCTCATCAACACCCTTTGGCGACCCCTAATATTTCTAGCCATGACTAACACTAGAAATTTATGGTTGAGGGGGCCGAATTTCCCTAACTAACCTAGATAATTATCATTCTTTGTTGTCATAATTTTACTAAATTCATATGTAGTTACTAATATACTAGTTTGGATGAAAATTGAATTCCTTTTTCTGTTAGCACACACGGTAGGCACTTCATGAATTTTCATTTTATTCATACCATGTTGAACCAATTATACCCATTTCTTACTCACTAAGACAAAACATGGATGCATAGGGAATTAAAGTTTTAGATAATATTTTCCTAGAAAACCTAATCTTATCTTCTTAATTAATTCTTATCTAGGACGAATATGCTTTTAATTTAAGGCATATTCATCCAATAAGGAGTAAAGGAAATAATTGAGAAAATTGTAGTAATGATCCCTCAACTTTAATTCAATTGAGCAATGGTCCCTCAACTAAAAATACATGACCATTGGTCCCTTAACTCGTAAAAAATAACATCTATGATCTTTTTCGTTAACTCCATCATAATTTCATCAAAATGAGTCATGTTGGAATGACCATTGCTACAATTTTTCTTATTTGGTTTTCCATATTTGACCCTCAATTCAGTCTCATGTGTGTGACATGTGACTCATTTTCACAGAAGTTCTAACTAGGGGTGGGCACAGGCCAAGCCAGGTCCAAAATTGAAGGAACCGGACCGAACTTGTTTGTAAATAAAACGGGGCGGGGCAGGGTGGGTTTTGGATTTTTCAAAATGGGATTCGGACCTAACCGGACCTTTGAACAGGCCGGTTCCTACGGGTCCCCACGGGTCTTCGTCATCCTCTTCGTTCCCCAGCGTCTCCGCTGACGCCTTGAGCAATTCCTCCAGAGACTGTAACCCATCTGTTTATCCCCTGCTCCGCAGAACACCAAACTCCCCAACCCCTCACCTTCCCATGAAAACCCACCCTGTTTCCCTGCCTATTCAATTTCCGTATGCATTTCCATCATTTCAACAATATCATTGTGCAAATTCTCAGCAACAAAATCTGCAGCCTTCTTCCCACCATGTCCATCATACACCCAAAAAAATGGCTACAGATTTGCACCAAAAACAAAATCAATTAAAACATAAAAATAAAGTAATACAAAAAAAATATTTACAGCAAAACCCATAAATGATTAGTACCTATATCTGTGAAATCCCACCGAAGTAGACGACTCCGTTTTGCAAGGTGAAATCCCAGAGCAAGAAACATAGACCGACGATTTTACAACTCAATCAAACAAACACACTCTCATACAACCTGTTAGTACCCATATCTGTGATTAATTTCAACATGTACGGTAATAACTAAATCAGAACCAACCTTCATTGGTTTGGGCATTGGCAAAGTCGAGCTCGAGGAGACCTCGGTCCAGTGACAGAGTCGAGCTCAGGGTGGTGGAGGAGACGACGAGGCGAGACGGCGAGAGAGAATCGAGTCCGAGTTCGAGGACCAGTAACAGAGCTAAGAGTTGAGCTTGAGGAGGAGACCTAGTCCTAGGGTAAAACACTAAACAAACGATTCGGATGTGAAACTAGGTTCCTCTTCGATCTCTTCCGCCCATTGCAATTACAAACAGGCCGGTCCGGCTACCCGTTTTTCTATACTTTTGGATCCGGTCCAAACTTAAAATTTTAAAGCCCCGGCCCACCTCGTCCCTCCCCGTTTCACTTTTTAAAAATTAGGAACCGGCCCGTACCCGTCTCGACCCGCGGTTTCTATACCCGTTTGCCCACCCCTAGTTCTAACGGAGTTGATGAAAAGGACCATAGCTGCACGTTTTAAGAAGTTAAGGGACCAATGATCATGAATTTTTAGTAGAGGGACCATTAGTTCAATTAGATTAAAGTTGAAGGACTATTACTATAATTTCCTCGAAATAATTTGGCTGAAATTTTTAAAGAAAGCAATTTTAAGAAAACATTATAAATCTTGAAATTTAAGGTGCTTAGGGAGGATATAACAATTAAACCTAAACTTAATTGTGATGGGGCATGGAATGGGAAGAAAGGAAGAGGGGCGGCGCCGGGGAAAGGGGGGGGGGGGGTGGAGCAGCAAGGGATTTTGCTGGGTTACTGAAATTTGAAGGGGGCACGCTGCAGTGTGACTCAGTGAAGATGGCAAAGATGGCAACAATTCGCGAAGGTCTCCGGGCATGCTGTAGGGAAGAAGTGCATGACTTAATCATTACTGAATAAGGAAATGAAACTTGATGTGCGGAGAGTTTAGTTAATGATATTTATATGTTGAGTGAATGTGTTTGTTCCGTGAAGTTTTTGTTCTCGCCGGGAGAAGGCAATAGAGCGGCACACTCCGTGTTGGTGTTTGTTCTTAAAGAGGGAGGCTCGTTCGAGTGGGATTGTATTGGTCTTTTTTTCTGTTTAATACTTTAGCCGAGAATGTAAACCCTTCAATTCGAATTTAATATTATTTATCTCTTGGACAAAAACAATTAAACATCATATTCTTGTTAAAAATTTAATTAACTGAATGGTACTTTGAATACAACTAGGGACAAATGTTTTAGGTGGCACACCGCCTTGATGACTTTGCAGTCGAAGGCAGATGCACACTGCCTGAAATCTGAAAAATATACATGAGAAGTTCTTTTGAAGATCTCCGAATGTTTTATACGGGTCTCTTTTGTACTTATTAAATGTTTGATGTAATACCTGTTAAGCATATCTCAACAAGTTGGGTCAACAACACCCAACAAATTCTATCAATATCACTCATTAAATTGTTTCAGCATATGTCAAGATTTATTGACATGTGCACAATATAGTCTGACTAACGACAACAAGCCAACCAACTGTTCAACAAAATGCCTTAGCTTATAAACTGAATTTTTTTACGCGCTTCGCGCTTTGTTTGTATTTAAAAAAACTTGGACCTTTTACCAAAAAACAAAAACTTGGACCTTTATTATTGGGATCCCCAAAATTTGAACTTGGATCTGCCACTCCTCGCAGTAGTATTCTAATACATACATGAATAGAGGACTTAATTATGTGTTTTTTTTTTTTTTGAATGGAAGATGATATCATTAACTTGGGAAACTTACAAAGTGTTTTAGATTAGGAGATTTTGAATAACACTAAGAGGCTCCTCAACCCAAACTACTCTTGTCTCGATGGACAACGCTACCTTTGCCAAACAATGAGCAATACTGTTATTATTCCTTTAAACTTAGAAATAGTAAACAAATCTGCAATATGAAGGACAATCCCCCACTAACAAATCCATCTCCGAAGCACAATCCACACAAGTATTAATGATGGAAATTGCTTGAGAGGAGTCACTGTGAACTAAAACCTTCTGTATGCCTCTATACGTGTTGGGTCCAACGGTCACAAGTGATCTCAATTGTTTTTAACTTGAAATACCATATTTTATAATCAATTTTCAATGAGAGCATTAATTTTGTTTAAACGTACGCAGTTTTAAGTCATCAACTTATGCAATCTCTTGAACAATGAACATCTCGAATATATTTTTGTCAACTTTCTTATTAGAAAATTTTAATTGGATTTCTTTAAGTGACCTACAGCATTTCATAATTAATTTTACATATAAGTCATAAATTGTATAGTAGGTTAAGAATTGCTAGCAAGGCTGGGCCAAAGGATAGCTGAGGTATGCGCCGGCCTAGGGCCCTCACTTTGGAGGGTCCTCCAATTTTTTTTTTTTAATATGTACAATTCAAATTCAATAAAAATATGAAAAAAGTAAAAAAAAATAAAACAATATACAATTGAAAAAGAATTTATTGAAAAATTAGATTATCTGAACTTAATTATTACATTTGCGTTTAAAAATGCTAGACGTGTGATATTTAAGTAATGTTTGCATACCTTTTTTATTTTCATATTAGTTTTTAATGATATTTAATGTAGAAATAAACTTTTTCATGTATTTATAGAAATTTTTTTATACATATCAATGTACAAAAGGTTAGAAGTTAGAGAACTTTAAGGCTTCACTTTGAAGGCTTGCCTTAGGCCTTCAAATTCTCAGGATTGGCCATAGAGTTTATGTTATTCCAAGTTGAAGCATAAATTTAAATCATGACCCCAACCACAAATCCAAATTGCGTGGTTATATAACTCACTACATCCAACATATAAGAATCTATTAAATAATGAGTGGATATGGAAAAACAATGATCCAACTGCACATAACAAATAATAATCAGCGTGTAATACCGACCTCGACTTTTGACGTGACAAAGTTGTCCCATAGCACATTGGCAAATTACACCAAAATCTTTCGGTATGAAGCGAAAACGGATAAACTGAAAGAAAGGATTTATGAGGGAAAATTGGATTGAGAGACAATCATAAATTAAGCGATTGTCTACTTAAAAACTAAAGGAAAACTAACGAAAAGTTCAAAAAAACTTTAGTTTTAATGAAAAATGACAAATAAAGATGTATCGAATAGTACCAGAAAAGAGATAAAAATATGGTTTTTCAATAAAAATGAACAGTACCAAGAGTGTTTCGTTAAAATTCCAAATTAAAGGAAAGCATCACCCAGACCAAATTGCCACAAAAAAACTTGCACTCACTAATAACAAAGTATGTGATGGTTGTTTGCAACCCACACCGTATTAATAAAAAAAATCATAATGTAATAAGAATGTAACATAATTCATGTATTATAATATAACTAAATTACTTACAATATCTTTCCCACCACCTGTGAGGCATATATTTGAGGAAAATCGAACTCATATCATAATATTTGAACAAAATCCTACCACATAAACTGTAGTGTGATATTTTTTTATTAAACGATAAATCTTATTAAATTGCAGTGTAATATCTCCCAACAGTAACTCACTCGCAGTGCATCTCGTCCAACCTCATGAAATCCACCTATCATCGCTGCGCCATCACATTGTGAATTAGCCCCTAGCTTATTTGATACCCACCACATTGAAAAAAAAAAAAATTTGGTACCCACCACGTGTCGAGTAGGAGTACATGACACGCAATCCAAGTAGATTAACTGGCAGACCGACGTGTTGGGCCAATAGTAGTCGACAAAAGTAAGCAGAAAGCGAAAATCTCATCCCCGTGGGCTCCACATAGTCCGTCAGTCCCTGGGTTTTGGTCGGTTGAGTTTAGTCTCCCAAACCTCCCCACGTGTCGAATCCACACACATCTGAATTTGCGACCACAGACCACCCTATCCGTCTTTTTTCTTAGTTCTTGTTTGCTTCTGTTTCATACGTGTACCTGTTTTTCTAATTTACTTTTTTTTTTGGTGGCTTTTTGGTCCCCCATAAAAAAATGAACTCCACCGACCAAAACAAAAGTTGATGCGGAGGACGTGGGAGAAACTAAGAGAGACCATTTCCAATATTTTATTTTGGTAATAACAAGTTACAAAATGATTAGTGGAGGAACGGTCTTTTATGCCGACATAGTTTGTAAGATTTTCATCTTTTGTTTTTTTTAACCAATATTAAATTGGTAGGAGATAACTATGTGACAATTTGGATAAATATACCCAATTCTATACTCGAGGTGTAATTCAATGGATTTATTTATATATTTTTATTCATTTTTAAAAATAAATCAGTTAATGGCTTGTCACGACAATCCATTCTTACAAAGAAGAAAGACTTACATAGACATTTTAACCTCTTCCTCATCACCATCATACGATTCACTAGCGTTATAAATTCAACTCAGAACATGATGTATGGAATACGATTTGAAATTCGTGCCCAACCAGTTGCTTGAAATACTAACATTTAAATCCAAAGACGGCAAGCATAATGTTATCAATTTGCATGTAACGAGAGGAATATGCTAATATTTCTAATATGTGAATGGAATAAAAGTGAAATGTAACACGAAAGAAAGAAGTGGAAGTTGTGGAATCCATCTCTTGTAGGATATTCAAGAACTAAAACACCATATATGTATATAAGATTATTGGTCCTGTGTTTAATTAATAATAGAATTATCAGAATTACTCGTAACTAAGAGGTCTTAGGTTTGATTCTAATCAAAAGTAAATTTGAACAACTTTATTGCTAACCTATTGTGAGGTTAAGCCCAACCCCTCCCTTTTAGTATAGATAATATCGTTTTTTTTAAAAAAAAAAATCATAATTACTTATTGCACAAATGAAACTTTTATGTGTCACACATATTTGGCGTTACTTCAGTAAGTATGCAATTACTCAATCAATTAGGAGTTTAGGTTGGTATAAATGAGGAAGAAAATCAACTTGATTTTTATAGAGAACCAAATCAGCTAGAATTAAGATATAAACAAGGGATAATGCTAGGGAAACCAAATTTGCAAATCAAATAACATGGTGATTGATGATTGAATTATTACTTAAGTGTTGATTAACGTACTTATTATCTTATTATCTTATTATCTATTGGTGACAAATGTATTTGCAAATTTAGTTTTATTTCAGACATACATTTGAAAATGTTTCTGGTTTAAATGCCGTACAATCTCTCTTATATTTAAGCCTAAGCCAGAACTCAGAAGAGTAATCCCTGAAAAAGCTAAAGCAGAAAGAAGAAGCTCTTTTGGCAAAAGCACTTCCAACTCGTGTGAGTCACGAGAGTCGCAACAGGGGGGAGGAAGAAAAGAAGGCTCACAAGAAAGAGAGGAGAGGAGGGGAATGGAGAAAAAAAGTGAGAGTGGGAGTGGTGGTGGACAGGTGGTGGACGGTTCGAATATAATGGAGTTGGTTGGGAACGAGGAGGTGTTTAGTAACTTTGTGGAGCATAAGTTTAAGGAGCTCGACAGGAACAGAGACGGCCACCTCTCTTTGAACGAGCTCCACCCTGCTGTCGCCGATATTGGCCTTGCCCTTGGCTTGCCGGCTCAGGGTTCTTCCCGGGACTCCGATCACATCTATTCCGAGGTACCTACTAACTTAGTTTCCCCTCCTTAAGATTTCGGCTTTCGCTGCCGAATTTTAATTGATTTTGAGTTGGACGCTCTAAATATGTTGTGGTTTGTCGACTGTTGAGAGTATTCTTAAGTAAAAGCTCCCTTTAGTTCAATGAAAATCATTTTCTTTTTCTATACAATATAACTAGGAATGCGGAAAATATTTCCTTTATTATTATTTAAAAAAATTTGGTTCGCTCAAATGATTCCCAATTGATTTTGTGTTAGACACAGTAATTTTAATATGTTATCTAATTATTTAGGGGAAATATTGTTTGGGGGAAGAATATTTGCCTTACCATTTTCTTTGATCTTGCGTTGAATTGTTGTCTAATTATGTAGGAGTTGAATTAATCAGATGATAGTTAATTCTTGGCAGGATAGCCTAAGCATACTGTATTGTCAATATCTACTAATCTTTTTTATGGTCAGGCTATTCTCTACTAATCTACTAAATCCTCATATGATACTGCAAACTTACGACAGATAATCAAAGTTAGAGTTCTAATATGAAATGCAGCAATCGTAATTACATCAGATATTATGTGACTTTACTCTTCAGTTCCACCTCCCTTTCCTACTTTTTTTTTTTTTTTTTCTTAGAATTTTCTTCTCCCTTTGTCCTCCTCTTCTAAGAGGAATCTGGTGACGAACTATGTCGAAAATTTATATTATTCAAGAAGATTTAGCGTGACAAAGGCCGTAATAATATGTCATAATGTTCCGTGATGGAGCCGGTGCCTGCCTAACTTTCAAAAGGCAGTGGTTCTGTGGGGGAGGGAGTAGAAGTCAAAAAAGATTTGTTTGAGGGGCTTGCTTTTGAACAAAGTAACAACCTTACCTAATCAGCTCATAATATAGCTTCACTTTATATTAATACAAGTACATGACATCTTACTAAAGTAATGCCGCCCCTGTTCAGCGCGTGAATGATTGAGGAATCGGAACAATTCTAAAGTCAATACAATGTTACATTGCAGAAAAGTTTTTGATAAAAGTAATAGTTAACATCTAAGGGTTGGCAAGTCTGGATTAGATATAGACATAACAATTGAGAGTATTATCCTACTTTGGAAATGGAAGCGTTGTATTAGTAGTATGCCTCTATACGTGTTGGGTCCAACGGTCACAGGTGCTCTCATGTCCACATGTTTGATTTGAGTGATGCCATTGCCACACGTTAGTGTTGTACCGCATTGAAAATGAAAGCTGACTAATCAGCCGAGAATCCATACTAGAAAACTTATTGGTAGATTGTATAAACATTTACTGAACAAAACCAGTTAAACTAGATTTCTTTGAAAAACATTAATGGCTTTGCTCCATTGTTCTTAGGTATTGAATGAGTTCACTCATGGGAAACAACAAAAGGTGAGCAAGACTGAGTTCAAAGAGGTTCTTTCGGATATTCTAATAGGCATGGCTGCTGGTCTCAAGCGAGACCCTATTGTGATCCTCCGTATTGATGGAGAAGACCTCCTTGAATTCATCGATGGGCCAATTTTTGAACCAGAGCTGGTGGCTACATATTCTGAGGTAAAGTCAGCTGATGGAACTCTCCGTGACGGTATAATCAAAGCTTTGGAAAAACTCACAGTTGACCAAGGGATGCCCCCTTCATCGGATTCTTGGGTGATTCATCTTCTCTAATTTAAGACTTTTCAGTACTAACAGTTCGTCCTATAAATTTTCATGTTGAATTGAACATATACATTCTTGACGGCTTTTTTCCGTCTTTTCCTCTTTGTTGGTTTCTTTTGTTCTTTAGGTTGTAAGCAATATTGTGGAACCTGCTCTGCAATCATGCACTGGCCATGATTTGGACAAGCCGGTCTCTCAAGATACGTTCCTAGAAGAATTCAAAAAAGTGGCAGAGTTTGTGGCTCATCGTCTTCAGGAGCAGCCTGTGATTGTAGCCCACAGTGAGAATGACTTTGATGGAAGTGACATCAAGAGATTGTTGTCCAACAAGTTTGAATTAGACAAGGTTTGCCTCATAAAGATGCTTCATCCTTTTGTCTCAGACCAATTATACTTATAAATGTTGTTGGAATCGATGCCCTTTAAGGCATTCCCTATTTTTCTTAAGAGTGCCCTGACTCATCAAAATCGCTTATTACAATCTCTTGTGAAATGCAGACACTGAATGCAGCTATTGAAACTGTTTCAAAAGACCGCAGTGGGAAATTATCCAAGGAATATTTGCGTGTGGCACTGGATGCGGTGGCTCCAACAGCTGGTCTGCCACCACTTGGTGCAGTTGAGCAGGTTCTCTTTAAATTGAAATTTGAACTCAGACAGCGTTTTCCTTCTGTGCTTCCCAAGCTGGATCATTTTTACCTTCAGCAGATGTTCATAAATTTTTTACAATGAAAATCTGCAGATGGACAAGGTTGTGCAGGATGTGTTCAACATGCTTAACGCAGATGACGGAAAGCAGCTTAAAGAAGACGAGTTCAAGAAGACACTGACTGAAATCCTGGGGAGTATCATGTTGCAATTGGAGGGAAACCCAATCTCAGTTCACTCTAATGCGGTTGTGCACGAGCCCCTCACCGCTGCTTCTACTCTACTGCAGCCAAGTCCCGAGTTATAGATCATAGCTCTCCTGGATATATCAAGCGTAACAAAGATAAGAACGGCAATAAATTTTTTGATGAAGGAAATGGTTGCTACCACAAGTTTGTGTTGCTTAGGTATCATAATCACGTTAATGAAATGCTCTTACTGTGCAAATTTAGATAGGGATGTCCACTATGTTGTTACTGATTTCTGATGTTTGAACTTTGAATGCATCAAGGGTTTGAGCTAATTAGTGAAATTGGTACTAAAGCATATCGAGCCAGAAACTGCCAAAGTGTTCATGCATGGTAACTCTACTTGCTGTAATTGGTCTGTGCCAGATATAAAAGAAGCTTGTGGTAATTTATTTACCCTTTTATCATACTGCTGTGTTTTTACCGTGCGTAGATTGTGTAACTAACTGCAAAACACTAATCAAATAATTTTCCCCAGAACATAGAAAGTTCTTGTGTTTCTCTTAATTCGTGTTGCAATTGCATTTGACAAGAAAAGGTGCAGAGAATTGGGTGTGTGTTGTGGTGGCCGCAACCATGGCGCTTGCTGTTTTTGTCGACGATTATAACCAGGAGGGCCAGGCACCCGGTAAAGAAGACAGACAAGTAGTGCAAAACCGATGTAGCTTATATATAGGTCTCATTGTCTCAACATATAAATTCAAAATGTTGATTTTCTACTACTAAATGGGTTTCATATCCACAAATCCGTGTCTTATGCACCACAGTAGTACCAGTAGGCAGTAGCTTATTCAAATCAATGCAAATCCTTCATATAATTCTTGGAGAAAAAATAATTGTCCCATAAAACACATAACTTATCTTGCATGATTGCATCTTATTATAGGCATGTGAGCCCCCCTTTAATTTTTGTTCGAGCCCCTGAAATCTGAGGACAGGCCTTGTATGTAAGTGATTCAAAGTATCTTTCGATTTTGATTTGTAATATGCTTAAGCTAGCTTAAGCTCTACTCTTAGTAAAAATCCAGACAGACAATATACCAACCTATGATCTACTAACATTGGTGATCAAAACACCACTTAAGGTAGAGCTCAAGGTAGAATGTTTTTACGTGTTTAATTTCAAGCCCTTCATACATTTCTTTCTCCTTTCATAATCTCACACTCTTCTTCTACTGACGTTAAATCCTGCTTTGGCAAGTTCAAGGACAAACAATGGTACACACTACAAGCCAAAATTGGTCCAACCCAAAAAACCCAATGACCATCCCACAATATCCCTCCTTGCAACAGTGCTGCCCCTAAGCACCTTGCCGGATTCAGTCCTACCCCGGCGTACCCAGCACGCCCGGTTACCGTTACCGACACAAAAACTGCAATTGCCATAGACCCAGCCACCACAACGCACACCATTGGTAACCCTAATTCTTTGCTTCTTCTCTTGTCAAATGCCACTGTGACTCCAACAAAGAGAACCACAAAAGTGCAAGTAACTTCTAGTACCAAAGCTGTTTGTGTCTCCACCCCAGATGTGGGCCCACTTCCTTGGATTGTGCAGCCACCTAAGGAGTACTTTTGTACTGCATGTTGGTCCATCACAGTCTTCATTATGAGAAACCCTAAAACTGAGCCAAAACATTGTGCCAAAATGTAGATGGAAGCACGAGCTAGGGTTATGGCACCCTTGAGGGTAGCTATAAATGTGAAAACTGGGCTCATGTGGCCGCCCGATAACGGAACTGTCACAAGGAGAAGGAGGAAGGCTATGATGAAGACGGAAATGGGGACAAGCAGTTTCGGATCAACTTCACCTGAATCCAAGCATGATATGATGGAAGAGGTTAGGCTGAATACTAGAGAAGCGGTTGCTACTAATTCTGTCAGAGCTGCTCTCCACATCTGAAACAATTTGAATCAAGAGGGACATTAAAGTTTATAACAATGACAAAACATTGAACTTTTGAGATCCTAATAGAACTGTACTTCCCTAGACATGAGAGTTCGTTCTTTATCAAGGACGGATTGTGGATATGGTGTTGATAATCCGTCGATTACACGTTGGTAGATATAACATGTCAATAACAAAATTTACCGACGTGTTATCATTACATCATCAACATTATCGACACAAATATTGAAATTGTTGATACAATGCTTTTTATAAAGAGAGCAAAAGGAGTAATTGTTAGACATTATATGTTGCATATGAAATTATAAATCAAGCTGACCTCTGGTGAAAAGTATTCATGGGCACCAATTGCAGCAAGAAACTTTGGCCCCAAGGAATTTCGGGCACCGATTGTGTCACAACTTCCTCCAACTGATTTGGGCAATTTTTGATCAGCTTCAGTTTGGATTATGACAAACTCCGCCATCGCCTCAAATTGATGATGAAAAGAAAAGGGTTGAAGGGTTTATATTTAAAGAAACACAGAAGAACATAAGACGATATATATTGTGAGTCCGAACTCCTAATTAGGGTCACTGAAACAAAATGGGGTGAACAGAATGTTTTTCCATTACATAAGTTGTAGGGAAGTTGCCAAAGAGTTTTGTATTTAGTATTTATCCAAAACCTTGTGAAAGATTTTGATCTGTAAAAATTCCATAACTCTTAGGTTTTTGCTCTTCAAAGAAGACAGGCAGCGGCCGTATGCATGTCTTTTAATATGTAAATTAGACTGAAATTTTTGCTAATACCTTGGTCGTGGAAGTCGAAATATATGAGGATGATTTTTAAGCAATATAATTGCAGGCATATTCACTCTGCATAAACCAAGATTCTGAGCTTAAATCGATGAACATTAGAGTCAGATAAAACTATATATATATATATATATACACACACACACACACGCACGCACACATGCAGTGGACTAGAAAACAAAGCTAGAATTTGCGAGTTGGGATGGTGCCAAATTAATGACAATCTCTTGCAATTGGAACTGATCCCCTCCGGACCCAAATGAACTGAGCTAACTCATCAAATGATTCGGATCATTGAAATTTGAGTCAACCGCTACAACATAGAACTCCTCTAAAAGTTTTAATAATTGTAACCATTAGATCGAATTTCAATAATCTGGATCATTTGATCTTTGGACTTAGTTCCTTTGAGTCTGGAGGGCATCTGGATTTAAATAAAGTTAATTGTTATCTAGTCGTCAATTAAGGATAACCGATTCATCATATAAACACATTATCTTAGTTAACCAATCCCAACATCTCATCACATTTTTACTCGTCAATCGAATTAACAAGTTCTTTCTCAACCGTGATTGGTATTTAATCCATGAAGGCGATTAATTTAGAATTGTTGGTTAGTGTGGGTCCCGTTTCCTAAGAAATATTTTATAGACAACATGATATCATTATGACAGTATCTCAAACAAATCATGCACTATCAAGCGTTTTAAGTTTTATATGTGATAGTGCATGATTGTGATACTACCACGATAGTATCTCGTTGAATGAAAGTCCATTTCAGCCTTCGATGTGCACCAATCAACAATTAGGAATTTATGAGTCACTCACATTGACAACTTTTGCTAACATTTTCCCTAGGAATCAAACTCACTACTTTAATTGTGAGGAAACTACATTTGATAACAAACAAGAGTCATACTCACAAATTTAATACACAAGATCCTCCAAAAATTGATTTAACGAGAAAATATGCCTGCGTGTTGCTGCGGGACTTGAATGTATTAGTCGCAATAGGCATGAATAGTTTTCACACAAAGCAACTAAGAAGTAGCACCTAAAGAATCAATGAACAATTGGGACATCTTACTCATATGTGAGTCTCAATCCCTATTTCAAATCCCTATCGAACAAAAGTCATATTTCTTCAAATTGAATCGACATCATTGATCAAGCAATTAAACATTCAATAATTGACCCAAGAGTTGAGCAAATATATAGGGATTGGAAAAATACAAAGTGAGCACCAATGATACCACACCAGTACAAAGAGCATCACTCACCAGATAATCTAGCTTGAAATGATAAGGAAAGAACCTTGATTGAGATCTTCAATCACTGAGACAACCCAAATGAATAGAGAACAACACAATTAATAAACAGGGGGACAAAGAACCTGAGAAGCAGAAACAAACTTCTATGCACAAAAAATTTGTGCAAGTAAACAAACATCCAGTTATACTGAGACTTGAATGATCCGTGTTTTATAATATAACTTAAACCCAACCATGAATTTACAAAAAATTTTGGTAGAATTATTAACATAACTCAGAAAAAAAAAAACTCAACTTTGCATTTAAATTTCTTAAATAACTTAAACCCGACAAATTTAACTAATTAGATTCATCCACAAAATAGATTTTAACATAACCTCAAAGAGTTTCTTCTAACCAAGTAAACCATTACTCAACAAAAAACATGTAGACAAAGCTCTTATCAAAATCACAATATTGTAATGAACAGGAACTTCAAAATAATCTCAGCTACGCACTTTTCCAAAACGAAGGAAAAATATACTCTGTAACTTAACTTAATATATGAAACCACCAATTTAGTCACCTAAAATTTATAACCAACACAGAAAACAACTCCAAATCCTTAGGTTTACACATGTATGAGCCAAAGGTCAAGTTTTTACAAAACACTCATCCCACAATATGAAAAAGCAGATCGAAAAATTAAATTTTTGTATAGAAATGAGCCAAAGGTTCAATTTTTACAGACACGGTCATTTTATACACAATAAGCATACATAAAAACATAAAACTTGACAAATTTTCATTAACTTCTCAACCAAGACAAAGAACTTAAGTGGGTGCTGATGAATGAAAAATAATTCAGAATTGTTTTTACATTTTTATTATTTTCTAAGTTTTTCACGGAGCCAAATTAAACCAACATGCCTACAAAAAATTTATACCTGTAAGGCCGGAGACTGCTTTCAAGGCCTTTTTCTTTTCTTTGTCGTTATGTAAATCCAATTTCACTACCACCTTCTGTAAAAAAAAAAAAAACAATTTTCAATTAACAAATTGTTTTGGGAGAGAAAATGGAAATTCATTAATACAAATACCAATACCGATTTCTGGGATTTAAGGGTTTTCTGTTACCCTTGCAACTGAAAGCCTAAAAATCCCAGAAAAATGCCAAGAAGCTTAAGTAGAAAAAATCATTTTTCAACAACCAAAACCCAACATCGATTTAATCATAAACGAAAGAAGAAATTAAAATCTAAACACAGTCACAAATTAACGAATTGAAAACCCACAAAAAAAAAACATAAAATAAAAATAAAAATAGGCAACTGGCCTTAAAACAAAGAATAAATACACATAACAGAGAGAAGAGTACCCAAAATGAGAGAAAATGAAAAAAATATATAGAGAGACAACCATCCCCCAAAACCTGACCTAACTGTACTAAAAAATTTGAAAATAATCAATAGCCTTTTAATCACTACATGTAGGGGACAATATTGAAATCCAATACAAAACTAAGGATTTTCAAATGCCACAATATTTAACAACTACCATACATAGTTCTTTAAAAATGAGCATAAACTAACCTATAATCACAACAGCAAACAGCAAAAAAAAAAAAAAAAAAAAAATCAGAGAACGCAGTATTCTTTCATATTTTCTAATAAATTTTAAACCCAGAAATGGTTACATCTACCTTTTATTTACACCCCACCTGTTGCTCTACCCTTGCATCTATTAATCCAAATTCATTCAAGAAACAATGCAGAGGAGAAAGGCACTCAAAATCAAAAGATAATGGTGAATTGGTGATGCAGATGCTAAGATTAGCAATTGGATTAGCTTTTGTTATACAATTGGGGATGCAGATGCTAAGATGGCTTTGGAAAACAAAACAATTGGCGTTGTACCTTTCCAAATCAAGAGAAGCAACAACAACAACAACAACAACAACAACAAAGCCTTTTCCCACTAAGTGGGGCCGGCTATTCCAAATCAAGAGAAGCAAACTAGCAAAATTTATCATAAATTAGAGGCATACATTTTTGAAGTGTGAAATCAGAGCCAGTAGAAAACTGGTAATACCCTGAAATTAACAATAAATTTAACATATTGGATGATGAAAATCAAAACAAAGAAGCCTAAGAAGCAATTAAGAGGGAAAGAGAGTACGTCTACAATGAAGTTCAGATTAAGAGGGTGATTTTAGCTTTTGGATTACTCAGGGCCAGGGTTGTAATCTATATTCATATTAGAGATGAGAGTAGAATTGAAAGCACTTCCCAAATTATACACTGTATTTTCCTTCAACCTAAAAATAGAATTAACCCTTCACATGTTGGGTTCCAAAAACCACATAAGGAGTAAAGTCTAAAATATCAATTTCAATTTAATACTGACCAGATCTCAATAAAAATAAAAGTAAATCAAAGAAGAAAAACGTACACACCATGCCTATGCATGTACATTGGCTTATGCACATGAAAAAGAATACACATGTGAATAAAATTAGACAATTTTAAACCTTTACCATCCTGACCACTATGAAAAGCTTTTCAATTAATAATTGAGCTTGAAATGAAGAAGGCCTTTCTCACCTTGATGCAGGGCGGACAACAAAAACATTATGCATGGATTAATGCATAATATCTGAGATCCTATATGTTTTTTATTGACTGATGCTTCAACATCAGTCACCTAATTCATATCACACATCCATACATACCTAAGAATGATTATTCCCACCACCATAACATTGTTGCTTTATTATGTTTTTTCACTGAGAAGAAAACGAAAGAGCATCATGAAAAATTTAGTCCAATATACCTGAGAACAATTCACATGTTATTACCTTAAACTGGAGTTAAAATTACTCACCCATTTTTTTTTTCATCACACCAAGACAAAAATAAAGGAAGACTTCTAATCCTGTAAATTAGCAAATACTCTACTATCCTAAATTCCTAATCCCACTTGACTTCGCTGCCCCACACCTTTGTCCCCTGTCTCCCATTAACCAAAAACACTCCCAAATCACATCAGCCAGCCATACAACAAAGCCACTGGCCACATCAAATATTAGGCATGATTTAGGTAACCAATTCAAAGAATAAAGTTCGGATAACGAAATGCAAAGAACACGATACATATTGTAAAATTCAAGAACATGATTCAAAGGATTTGAACTATATTGTGTTGAAAACTTACCGAAGAGCGACGATTCCAGGGCGGTAGCGGTCAGGCTTCTTGACTCCTCCAGTTGTGGGTGCTGATTTTATTGAAGCCTCAAAATCAAAACAATTAGCAACTTAGATTCAATAACTGATTGTTTATTGGAAAAAAATAGCTTGCAATTATTGACCCAACACAGATTTTGCAGTATTAATTAAGAGAGAATTATAGTTTTATTTACT